AAAGAGTGTTGAACTCGAAAATATGATAATCCCATATCGTATCTGTACAACATAGATAATAAGTATTATTAATCCACATCCAATTCAAATGGTGAATCTAAACATGAAATTTGATATTCAATCTTTGTATATACCTAAAAGGTGGATAATAACAAATATAGTAAGATATGGTTAATCATAAACTTTGATATTTAGTATTGAGATTGAAAATAAGATGGGGTATGAAGAGAGATAAACATGTAATATGATATTGAATTTTGATGAAAGAAATGAATATCCAGTAATGTAAGAATGTGTTGGCGAGTGATAGTGATTAAAGAAAAGAAAAGAAAAGGAGTTATAGTAGGTAGTATAGTAGTTACTGTTGTTGGGTGTTGGAGATGGATGAGAGAGTATGGGTTGGGGTGGTGAGGAGAGAAAGCATATGCAAGAGAGAGCAATGTTATGTGTTGGGTATTCGTAACGTGCGAAGATCCACTTCTGAGGAGACAAACCGGGTCTGCGTGACAATGACCGCTACCTTTTACTTTTCCAATTTTACCCTTCTCTTTCTCACACATTCTCCACCCTTGCCACCCCCTTTTACCGTGGTACCCTTCAATCTTCATTACTTTATGCCACCCAACTAACCCCCACTGCCACTACCCAGCCACCACGTGCTGCTTTCTACTTTCTACTCTTTCCTAAGACACGACAAATCTTTATGTGTACCCAACATTATTATTATACAACACATAAAATATCAGATCTCACCTTATACAATTCAAAACTCTAAGATACATAAATATGTTGTCGTCCAATGGTTAAAATTATACGTCCTCATGCTTTTAACTTCATTTAATCCTTAATCATATGACAATATCCATGAAAATCAGTTCAAATAAAAATATTCATTCGTACAACAAAAATAGTTTCATTAACTTTAACGATATAATACTATCTTGTGGTAACTTATGTGTGGCTCATATCTCATACGTTGTACTATATTTAAAAGGGTTAATTTTACTGAATGATTGATTAGGTTTGAACCCCAAAAGCAGCGAAGATAAAAGATACACCACCACTTTAATTATTAAGCAAGCACTCCTCACGTCTTTAATGATTAAACCAACACTCTTAAATAATGTACTTAATAATTTATGATGTTTCACTTTACTTTTATAATAATGTTTATTAATATTGCTAAACAATTTAGATGAAAATTAAAAATGAATTGATGGCTTTTTTTTGTTTAAAAAGAAGCCATAATAATAATTTAATAAATACTGTAGTACCAACTATCTTTTAATTACACACTGTACGTGTATCTCTCAAATATAAGTAATACTAAATTATTTACGTCTCATTAATTGCTTAAAAAATTAAGCATCAAATTAAAAGAATACGAGTATATTATTTACGTCTCATGAGTTAATAAAAAAAAGCATCAAATTAAAAAATACAATTTTTTTTTACAATATGTATTTTCTACGAAAAAAATCATGTTTAAGATAGTTGTACATAGAACTACTATAAACATAAAACTCTTCTTTTAAGTATTTAACATATCTATGTACTTAGAACTTGAACACCATATTATTGATTAAGCTAAAATAATTTCTTACTAATTGATTACATATTCATTGGTAAGATATTAATATTTTTAAAAAAAAATATAAAACTATAAGATCACTACTCCCTACACTTCTTATTAAAAGGTACAATTTACAAAGAAAATCATTATTTTTTTAACAAGAAACTTTACAATTTTTATAAAATACTAATTTTATTTTTTATCATTTGTCTCTCTTAAAGATTATGAAAAAAAAATTGTACTTATTAGTATGCATAATGATAAAAGAATTTGAGAAACAAATATTCTCTCTCATATTTTAAATTCTCCAATTATCATCGATGAATTTGACTAATATCGAAATATAAACTTTGATATACAACAATATCTTTTATCATTCTCATAAAAATTTAATAATAAATAAATTAATAGTCGTAATTATCTATATATATGTTAAGTGGGTTAAAATTGTGTAGATAGTATAATTTAAAAAAGTTAAAGCGAGAATTATAGTTTAGTTTAGTTAGTGAAAGATTGAAGGCATAATTGGAGGGAGGTGAATGGAAAATGGTCCGATGGGATGGGATGTAGGGGGAGGTTGGTGAGATTAAGGAACGTGAAAGAGTAAAATGTGTGGTTAGGTTAGGAAGAGATTCAGAAGAAGTAGAAAACGCAACAGAAACTAATAGAAGAGGACATGTGGGTCCCACCCTATAGTCGACTTGGACTGGGGACTGGGGACCACAACTTGCTCCTATCCGTGGCTCTGTCGGACAAGCCGTATGGTCCTCTTCCGTATACGGCCTCTCTCTCTCTCTCTCTCTCATCCTCTTTTTACGCATTTCGATAACTCTTTCCTTATTTTTTAACTAAATCTTCCATTGCATTTCCATGCACCACCAATCTTTTTCTTCTCTTCCTTTTCTTTAATTACAACATTCAGATCATCCTTCCAAATTAAGCCTTTTTTATTATTTAATCATCTAAATACCTAATTCAATTCAATCTTTTCAAGGACTCAACGCGATTAGTGCCGTCTAACTCGTTAGATTTAAGACCAACTAATCCTATCACTTCACCCCAAAAACAAAAATATTATTGCATGTAAAAACTCTTTTATTGGTTTGTTACATTTTTATGATAATGATAATGTATAAATTACATCTCATTTTATCACTTGTATTTGCTGCCCTCTTTTGTCCTTTTCAAATAATCAATTTTCTTTTAAATTATAATTTTAGTTTTTTTTTATAATACTTAATTTATAATTTTGTTCCTTTGATTTTTAACTTCACTAATTTAATCCTTCAAATTTGTTGTGTAACGTAATAAGTTAATCAAAATTTTAGTGAATGCTAGAGGAAAGAGTATATAAGGTTTTCTTTGAGAATAAAGTCTCACAAGATCATTCTCAAAGAAACCTAGAGAGAAGTTTTAGAAAGAAGGACTATGAGTCCGTGAGCTCCTTTCTCTCCCAAATTTCTCTGTTTGATTCTTCTTCTCTAGATCACTAATTCCTTATGTCTTTTCTTCAAATTCAGGCGAGGAGGCTTGTTTTGGAGGATTGAAGTCCGCAGGTTGAGTTTCAGGGGAAAATCTTCTTCTTCTTCCTCTTCTTGGCTGTTTTAAGCCAATCTTCAGGTGATGGAAGCTAGAATGTAGGTTGTTTGATTGCATGTGAGTTTAGGAACTCAATTGGTGCATGAATTTTGAGAAGAAATAGTTGAATTGGATGATTCCTCATTTTCGGGGTTACGGGAAAAAAAAATGGGGTTTTTGGTGACTTTGATGCATTGAGTGGTTGCATGTTGAATCTGAGTTTGTTTTTGAGTTGTATGGAGCCTATGTATTTCATTTCATGGATTGCATGCGGCTGGATTTGCTAATTTTCAGGTTTTGATACAATTTTCTAGGTTTTTGGAGGCTGATGTCGAAATTTGCACCAGGCGCATGTTCTTGGCGCCGAGCACACATTCATCAGGGACCACCATTGTCAAATCATGCCGGCACGCAAATTGAAATGAGAGTCTCTGGATGAGTCATGTCGGGCATGGGAAAAGCCACGCTGAGCGTGATATCAATTAGTGGCCTTGTATGCTCGTGTTATTGATGTGGCGTCAGGCGCAGGGTGGGTGTGCCAGGCGTGGAGACCCTTAGAGGTCTCTGTCTGATTTGGCGCCAGGCATAGGATGGGTGTGTCGGGCGTGGAGACTCTTGGGAGTCTTTGCCTACAAGGGCGTTGGGAGTGATAATTCTACGTCGAGCGTGAGAGAGCCTTAGAACTCTCTAGTTGGGTTTAGGCCGGGCGCAAACTAACTTGCGCCAGACGTGAGTATGTTTGGTATTATGATTGAAAAATGATGAATATTGTAGTATGATGAGAAGGCATAGTTGCGAGTTGAGAGTTGTATATTGAACCTTAGTTGTGTAGTTGTGTAGAGATGTTATATGTATGAATCGAATGAGTTGTTGTGTTGTTAAAATGTGTTGTTAAACAGTGTTGAAGAATTATTGTGCTGATAAATTGTGTTGTTAAAGTTGTGAGTTTCCTGTGTTGTTCAAGTTGAAAGTTGATTTAGATGATGAGTTGAAACCTGTGTTGATTGTGTTGATGATGAGTTGTTGATCGCTAGGACTAGAGGAGAAATTTTTTAAGTTGCTCATCTCATTGTGTGGATTGAGATAGTTGTGGTGCTCTGAGAGCCCAAATTTGTTGAAAAGCCCTCCTTGGGAAGTTGTCCCTTGGAGCGGATATTGTGTTGTTCTCCTCTAGGAATTAGTTGATCTCGTGTGTGGGGAAGGTCGAGGCACACATGTATGAAGCGACCACGGTATAGG